TGGAACGAACTGGAGGAAAGCGAGTCCCAGGGCTCCAACCTTTCCCAAAGCCGAGACAGACCAGGGAAACGGGGTTTAATTTAGCATTTTGCCCTCTTTGGATAGCTTAGTACTCTTTCATTTTTGTAATTTAAAGTGCATTTGTATCTATGCATTCACATTGATAAGTATACACAAATACGTATGTATTTATATATATGGATATATCTATATTTATGTAAGTGACGGCATGGATATTAATTTAGAGCTAGTATATGTTCTCCTAGAAGATACTTTCCACTCCTCTCCTTTTAATTCTCTCTTTCCAGATACCCATTCAGAGAGGCAGAATAAACCCCCACATTTTCGAGGCTGATTTATTGTTAGAAGCTGTAGCTGGCTCTTGGTTCAGCTCCCTCTCACCGCAGAGAAATAAAGAGGAGCGCCTTGGCTCATTTGGGAAGGGGAAGCTTTGCCATAGAGCTGAGCACTCATGCAGCGCTCCTCGCACAATAAACAAAGTACCACTAAAGCATCATAAATAAAATGGCAGCACGATCGCGCAGTCATCGATTTACGGAGCGGCAGCGGCCGAACAAACACCCATAAAACAACAACCGCCGCCGCACACTCGAGCACGACCCCGACAGAGGAGCATCACACACCCCCCACATAGTTTTCTCCGACTTGCCCAAATACATAAACAAACAAACACATAAACACACAAATAAAATAATAGAATAAAATTAAGGAGGGAAATACTCAAACACGACAATAAAAGAGGCTTCCTATCTCCAGCCGGTCATAAATAATGGTAAAATGGCAATCGAGGGGCTGTAGCAGAGGCAGCTGGCCATCAACAGCAGTGTGGGATCTCTATGGAGAAAAATAAATAAAGAAGCAAACTCTGCCTGCTCTGCTCACTGCAAGGGTAGAGTTGAATATTTACCACAGCAAATTGAAACAAAGGGGGAAGCAGCCTGGCTCCGGGTGCACACACACCCGCACGCACACACACGCACTCACTCCAGCCTCTGCTACTGACCTTTGCCTCGAACAGCAATAACTCACCACATAAATGAACAATCAACGGAAATACCTTAAAATAAAATCCATCCTTTCTAACGAAGCATTTCGTCCTCTCGGCTCGACAATAACCTTTCCATAAGGAACGAAAGCTGTCAGCGAAATGGCCAGCTCTTGTGGGGACGGTGATGGGGGCAGGAGAAAAAAAAAAAATAATAGAAAGCAGTTCTTGCTCTGAACAGAAACTGGAAAAGCGTAATCGCAGACGGAGCCAGACCGGGTCTCCACTCCAAATGCCACAATAATGCGCTGTATTATGTGCTCACGTGGTCATACGTCAACTTAAATCCTTTTATTTGAAATAGGGAATCATTGAAGGAACAGGGTTTCTTAACGCGAGCCTTCGCTTTTTAAAGCCTTAACCCAATATGTTAAAGAAGAGTTTTAAGGGAGGGGAAAAAAAATCTAAGAGATGCAGATGACTACGATGGGAGATTGGTCTGATTCTCTTTCCTCCCACACCAATATTTCTTTACACAAAACCCATTGGAAGGTAAGAGGAATTCTTATAACGCCGCACTTTGATACTTAGCCTAATTAACCGGCATTTGCTCCCGAGGCCCGCCACTCTGCTCTACGTCGCATGTCCTCTACAAGCCCCGAAGAAAGCCCAAATCTTAATGCTATTATTTCCAGCCCCCTTCTAAACGGGACGATTACCAGCCTTCCCCCCACCCCCAGCTCCCTCTACCCTGCCATTGTACAAGACTTGCTCAACTCCCACACGCTACATCAGGGCTCCTGTAGAAACTAAAAAGACCTATAATTACCTGACAAAGGCAAAAAAGAGTCTCTTCTAAGAGGCTAGTTGATTTTTGTCCCCGCAACACACTATGAAGAATACACCATCCTTCATTGGCGTGCTTCTGAATTTTGCAAAATCTTTTGGGACCTTGCTGTTAAACCTGTGCTTACGCATTTCCTATACAGCTAGTTTGAGTGATGCGCAAAATTATAGGTTTCTAAGGTTGGAAAAGGAAAAAAAATAGGGGAGGGGGAATTCTTTGCCTAAGGGGGAAAAATTAACAAAAAAATAAAAAAGCAAAGTTGTATGTGGCCCCTGAGCCAGGCAGCTTTGCTTGTGTGTGAACCCATCACATCTTCCCTGTAAGATTGTTTAACTTGTGCTATTGACACAATAAGCTAAACAAACAAAAGAAACCCTCCACTCACACAACTTTTCTGGAAGGAGTCAAAGTAAATCAGATAGTTCACGCTTTTATCGTGCTCCTGGTTCAGCTCTGTGGCTCCAGCATTGTACATCATCATGTATACACCCTTGCCCAAATCTTTCCACCATCTCCCATGAGCTCAAAGAAGCCTACTACATATCCCCTCTTACTGTTTCACCTACACTTCATTGAACAGAATGGAAGGAGATTTCTTTTTAGAGATGACTTTTAGTGTTATGGACAAGCCTTATTATATTCTCACCTGAATTGTAAAAGTGGGCCACTGGAATGCAAACCCATTCATAACAGTGTACAGTAGTGGCATTGCAGCAAAGTCAGCAGGACGTGACAACAGGAGAAAACTTTGCAATTTTTCATATGGAAGTGACTAAGCTAGTACCAGGGTATACATATATTATCCCTCACTAGGAACTGGAATAAAAACTACAGACTTTTAAAAAAAGAGAGGGCTTTAGGCACACTCGACATGCCCGAGACTGTAACTATCAGCTTGCCTGGTAACTCCACAGCTCTCACACTTATTGTAAACCAAGGCCGATATTTGCTTGAGTTGGATGCACGGCTCTTTTAAATTTGGTGCGTTTGCATCCCATAGAGGAAGCACACAGAGAAGTTCTTCTGCAACAATGAAATTAATGGGGAATGGAGCAGATGTTGAAAAAAGCGAAGCAAGTCTTTCTTGGGGCTGTTGTAAAAAGTTATCGACTGCTTTGCGTCAAAAGTAGAAAGATGGCTTTAGAAGTTACACTCTTGAGCAAATAGAAACTACAAAAGCAATAAATCACAATCATAAGTCATCTGAAATGCCTTAACGCTAGCTGTGGCTATTGGCTTCAAAACCTTGTTTCTGTGAACATCTTTATTGGTATTAATGGTCAAGTTAATCCTAAAACTACTGTTTAACAATTAACTTGGTGTATATAGTGGGAAAACTAATTAATTCTTAAGAAAAGTAACTTCTTGACGTGCGAATACCTTTCAGAGTGTGCTTTAGGAAGGCAGAAGGGGGAGTCTGCCTAACTTTGTGCTGTCCTGAATTGCATCTGAAAATTACTGTCTTCCGCCGAATTTGGAGAAAGTTTTGTTTGCTCTAGCAGCGTGATTACGAGGTTTCAGATGCAAATCCAAATGATGCTGCGAGTCGCAGGCGCTAGACTTCCCTGTCACCCCATTTCTTGCTTTGTTCCTGTTCCTGGACACTCAACGTTGTTTACCTTGATGATTTGGAGACCCGAAAGACTGTTTCTAGTAGAAGAAATGTGGAGTTTATCAGTAGGTGTACTACTGATTTTTCTGGGCTTTATACACATGCCTTGGAGCTGAGTTTAAATTCCAGCCTCAGTAACAACAAACAGATCTGAGTTCATAACGTGCCTTCATTAAGGGAGACCCTTTGTGCCCGTTCTGGCATTAAGAGCCAATTTTAGCATTAATGCTATTTGAAGTTACCTTCAATATAATTAGAGTTAGAAATTTTACTGTGCTTCAAGTTTACTTTTATGCCAGTCGGTAAGAGGTGTGCCTGTCACTCCCATGTGGAGACGAAATGGGAATCACCCGTACGATATAAGTACTTATTTCCTCGCTACCTCGAAAGATTTGCAATCTGCTGGGGTGCAGAACTGTTTGCCTACATCCGTGCGCCTGATAAAGTTGGTCTTTGATCATTCCCAAGCAGATAAAAAGAGCAGCGTTATCGACTGTGCCCTTGTGAGAGAAGTTCTGCTCAGAGTCAGCTGAGTTTGCTGGTGTTGGGTCCGTTAAGGAATCCCAAATATCTCTGCCCGCAATGCTGTGGGTACATGCCACCGGAGGAAGATTCCTTCGTACCGTGTTTTAGCTTTCAATTTCCGAACGCAAGAGTGAATAGACATTTGCAGCGCCTTTTTGTAGTTAAGATTTAAGCAGCTCATTAAGCCAACACAAAGAGCCCTTGTAGTCCTGTAATTTATGGCCACTTTTAAAAGGTAGTAAAATACACTAATTGTACATCAACATCCAAAAAGGAGCAGGTAAATTTAGCAGGAATTTGAGCTAATTCTATGTAATCCTCCCCTCTCGACGGCCGGCATTAAAAAAAAAAAAAAAAAAAATTGTCACTATGGAAAGCATTTCTTTTCTCCTGCCAGAGGACCAAGCACACCAAGGACTTCAGCAACTCCGAACCACCAGCCACCAACCTCCACTCAGTGCAAAGCAGGCCAGGACGGACAAATAACAGAAATTTATTCGCTAACCATTCTGTTGTATGCTCGCAGACAAAAAGCAGGTTTTCTAACATCCCCACATGCACTTCTCGTTTGCAGGACTGGCTGCGGAGCTCCTCGAGGAGGAGGCGAACAGACAAGCCGCGATAAGAAGCCATTAAATACCGAACTAGCTCCAACCCTCTCTCCCTCGCCTGGTGCCTTTGATTTCGGAAGGAACTAAGAACGGACAAAGAAATTCTCTAACTCTTTCGCTCTTCAGATGACTTTGCATCCTTCCTGTCCCCAATGCCTTTATAAGGATGGCGATCACTCAGGTCCCGTACACTTCTTTGTCTGCCCAGACACGCGCATTCACCACCCACGGAAGATGAATAGGGCCAATCCAGGAAAAAAATTCCAGCTAGGTTAAATATTTATCGCAACAACAACAAAATTTCATTCCAGCAGTCTTGTTCTTCACGCAGGTACCAGGCAAATCTCATTCTTACAGCTGCCACCGGCGCAAAAGCAGCGACCGCTGCCCGGTTCTTACCTCCTCCAGCTGCGCAGGGTTGGGCTGAGGCGCTCCCAGCTTCTTCCACCGCCCCGGCCGAGCGGCTTCGTTTCGGGGCTCCCTGTAAACAAGCAACAAACAGTGCCTTACCGGGGAGTGCAGGGGGAGGTATTTTGCTCCTTCATTGGCAATACATGGTTTGCCGGGTGCGCTGGGAGAGCCCGGAGAGGGGCGGGCGGGGATGGAGCGGGCTCGGGCTCCCGCGAGGAGCGTGGATTCCCACCCGGGTGAAGAGCACGGGGAGCTGAGAAATAAAAGCGTGCGGTTGTTTTGGTTGGGTTTTTTTCCTTATTTTTTTTCCCTGTAGACAGCTATGCCTTCTGTCTCCAAGTGTTTGGAAATATTGTCATTCCTAACTCTTGTTACATGAATGTCTGCTTTATTTTCCTCTGGGAAACCTTTGTTTAGGATCATTTAATCAAGAACAGACATTAAACACAAGTCGTGGTGTTCATCTCTGCTGAATAAAACTCGGAAAGGATTCCAGTTTAAATGCGGGGCGTATTGTGGTTGGGCTTTTATTCAAACGGTTAGCCGGGGCCCAATCCTGCCACCACAAGCTCACTAAGAGACTAACAATTGACCTCAGCGAAGCGGGATCGGGCCCAAATGCGTAAAAAAATTTTTTTTTTTAATCTACCAGCACAACACATACACACACACACACACCCCCAAAAAAAAAAAAAAAAAAAAAAAAAAAAAAAAAAAAAAAAACAAAAAAAGCCGACATCCATGAAAGCCATTGATGGAGGAGAAAGTGCTGGGCTACTTATTTTCCCCTAAAATAAACAGTATTGCTGGTCCAAAAAGACAATAGTCAGGTTATTTGCATGCCACTTACTGAATCACTTTTACATATGAATTTGTCAGATATAATAATATACCCCTGTATTCAGTCTTGTTAATAAAACCCATCTAACGCATCTTACAATCGTCAGTAAATGTAAATGCTAATAATTAAATAACACCATTCTAGCTGAAGGGTGTTATCTGAGCCCTGGAAATATTAAGTCTGTCTTGGGACAACTTTTGGAGCAGATACTTTGCTTTGCTAATTTAGTAGTTCCATAATTACGCTAATAATTTTAAATTTGGTGTTGAACTCCAGTCTACATAAAATCATGCAATAATAGCCTACTAAACTGTTTATTGCTGTCTCATAAATTTGCAAGCGCTGACTGTTAAAATCTACTGGCAAACACAAAAGAAAATGGAAACTTCGAACTGCAATCAAAAAGCCCGGGCACTGCTTCCTGGGGTTATCCTTAGCTCTACCTTTCCTTCCACTCGGCTTCAGCACAGGGGGAACCCCCCAGCATTTTAGGCTCAAAGTCGTACCTTAGCCGTTTTGATCCCTAATCAATAATCATGTTACAAACAGCAATAATCATCGATCAAGCGTGACTGGGTTGTCCCACTCGTGTTAAATATGGAGCGTGTATCTGAAAATGGTGCCAGCGACTTTATGTTATTTATTTTGCAGCTATTAGGTCACGCTACCATATTTTACACTGCCACGGCCCTTTAAAGTAACGCTGTTTCTTGAAAGAGTTGCTAAGTAGCAATAAAGCACTTTACAAAAACTATGAATTTTTTTTTTTTAATTTGTTGTTATCCCAAGCTCTAATATTCATTGCGGCACTCTAAGTTCGTACATAAATCGTTCAGACTAATGAGTCATAGAGAAATTCGCCCATGACTTTTCCTTTGCAATGCTCACTGCCTTTCCATTGCTTTTTTGGCCATGTATTAAGAGACGGTGATTTATTAACGCCAGGAAAATTGAACAAAGCAGGTCCTCCTGCACTGTGGCACCCAGCTTTCCACAGTGTGAATTAGAACATTATCAAGTGTGTTTGCCTCCGTAACACTTAATCACCAAAAGCCATAATGTGACCACAAGGCAGCTAAAACAAAGATTTAACATTTCTAAATATTAAACTTGTTAAGCAAATGCTCAGCAGACAAAGCAAGCACAAACAATTAAAGTCATCAAGCTAGAAATATACACTACCTACTTACCAACACAGACCCTATTGCTTGCTTAAGAAGTTTAGAATCTTTCAAGATAAATCAGGTGGGGTTTTTTAAAAGAAAAAAAAAAAAAAAAAAAAAAAAAGGAAAGAAGGAAAGAAAAACAAACTCCAGTAACAAGGAGTTGAGTTTCACTTCTGAGAGAATCACTCCTAGTGAGGACTGACGGCCACAGATCCATTCCTGACTATCTGCATTAATTATTTAATGAGTCACGTGACCCTAAAGATTAAAATTTCAATATCTCGCCCAGAACAGACGCAACACCTTTATCTGCGAGAGCAGGGATGCTCGTACTTGGGTCCCCTAATCTCTACTGCCTTTGACAGCTCCTCAGTTTCCAGGGAGAGCTCTGGGGCATTATTAACAAGGGTTTGTCCCGTTCTGCACAGCGAACCGGGGCGGCTTTACACCCTCCGGCCCCCCAAGTCCAAAAGAATCAGTTGAACCCAAATCGTCATTGTCTGCAGCGGGGAGGGGGCTCTGTGCTGCTGGCAGGGGGACGGGAGAGCATCAGGGCGGCACTGCACGGGCCCGGGTGAGCGCTGCCTGTCCGCGGGCCCGGGCGGAGCCAGTGCGGCTGCCCGGGGCCGGAGGGAGGCGGCCGCGGAGCTGCCCCTGCCCACGCGGGGAGCTCCGACCCCACCGGGACCCGCGTGGGCCGGGCTTGGGCGCCCGCGCAGCGCCGCGCAGCCGGGGACAGCCCTGGAGCGACACCCCGGGGTCCCACCCCGCCGCGGCCCGGCGAGGCCCCGAGGCTGAGGGCACGGCCAGAGCCTCCGCCTCCTCGGGGACGTGACGTGCGGGGCCCGCGGCCGCGCCGCTCGCCCGGCTCGGGCGGAGGCGCGGGAACGGCGTGCGAGCCCGGGCTGCCCGAATGCGGCCCCGACGCCAGGCGGGGGGGCCGGGAGAGCTGGAGTTTCACTGCAAGCCCGTCAAGATCTCCGCCTGTGTGAGGGTTCCCCCCACCCTTTCCTCGTTTACAAACACAGGACAAGAAGACCTGGGACTGTAAGCACCCTGGGAAAAAAAAAAAAAAAAAAAGGAAAAAAAAAAGGAAAAAATAAAGAAAAAAAATCCTAGCATTGCGTAATGCCCCGATGCAGGATGGCCCTGGTCATTAAATACCACAAAGCGCTTGTCACAGTTCAGCTCCTCCTGTAATGAAACACCAGGTATAGCAAGAACTTGCAGGAGAAACGAGGATGGGGATCTCGGGAGAGGAGTATTTTTCTTGGTGGGTGGAGGGGAGATGGGTGCCGGGGTTAACCGAGTGGCGTTCCCTGCTGACAGCAAATTGACTCCGAGGTGATTTGGTCTTTCTTTGAAATATTGACACACTTCCACTTCCAGCGTTTTGAGCTGTGCTCGCCTTTGTGGCCAGAGCAGATAAATCCGTGTGTGAGAGACACCGGGAGAGCGAGAGAGAGGGAGGGGGGAGAGACATTTAGGTCCAAGTGCCGGATTAAAAAGAATACTGTCTTTAAAGGTCAAGGGTTTGAAGGGTCAGTCTGCCCCTCTAAAAAAAACAATTAATGGGATAGAAAATTTGTCCTCTCGGTGAACTCCTGGTTGCCTTAGCAAAGGGAGCACAATGCGAGAATTTAAACAGGACGATGTAATTTTTGAGGTTATTGTAAAGATGGGAGGTATTGGACCGGCAGCAGAGGGCTCCGAGCCCGGGAGCAGCATTCTACTCCCAACAGAAGCAGAAGGGGAAGAGAAGGAAGGAGAATTTACCTTAAACGATGATAATCGGCCATGGGGTATTTTGCAGTCCGCAGTTCAATCTCCAGCAAGAGAATGTACATTTTTTTAGGAGACAGCCAAGATGCTGTGTCTTTACACATGACCACTTTTTTTTTCCCCCAGGAAAATCCTTTGCGTCTTCACAGACTTTTCCAAGAGAATGCCTTTCAGAACCGCTGTTGAATTACAAAGAAGTATTTATTGTAGGAGGTGATTAATGATTCTCGCTAAAATTGCTATTTGCGGCGTGATTTCATTTCTCTTTACAATGGGAGTAAACCAGGTTTATACGCATAGGCTGCACACTAAAGAAATCCTGCACTGCCAGTTAATACGTTTCAGCTGGAATTTTGCTCAGTTGTGCTAATTTTGGCTCTAAATACATTGAGGGATTCTCAGGCAATAAACCAAATGAAGAGTTACACATTTGCGGATAGTAGTTACCTGACATACAGCTATATATTTTTTTTTTCCCTTTATAAGGAGATAACTGGTGACTCAGGATTTAGTAAACAGTAATATGTGAGCAGAAGTGTGCTTTTCAGGCCTGCTCCTTGGTCAGGTATGGGAACAGCCGTGTTTGCTGTGGGTGCTTACAGCTGCCACCTCCCTGATGCTGAACATGTTCTGCCAGTGGCACGTTACATTTTTCTTTGGGATGGTACATATTCCATGGCTAGGCAGGGATGCTGGCACAACCTTTGGAGCCTGGTGCTACCTCAGCCAGGGACGATGATGCCCCCTGGTCCTGGCAGCCTCACTTAGGTGAAGACAAGCATTGATTCCAAGAATCCATCTTGTATGCATTCGGGTGAGTAAATAAATAACTATTGGCCTTCACGTCTTCCCTGGAAGATTTAGTAGCACTTGAGTTCCTTTCCAAGATTTTTCCTACCCAGCTCAGTGCTAGACCGTGTTGTGAAAGCCCCAAGCAGGGCTCTCCGTTAGCAGTTCTGCTTTGCCTGAACTCCTTAGCTGCCTGGAAGCAGGAAGATGCACAGCCGGAGCTGGAACCAGCTGAATCCCATTTTGCCACAGTAGTTGTGACAATCTCGGTCAAAAAAGCCTCATGAGTTGTATCCAAATTCATGTGTCTACCAAGGCTTTCTCAGCACATTTTGAAATAATCTTAAAACAAAACAAAACAAAACAAAAGGAAGTATACACAGAAAAGGCAGCTTGAAAAGAAATTTTAGGTTACCGTTCAAGTATTCCCCTTAAACAGTGCTAGCCAGCTAAGAAATCATAATCAGGCCAAAATGAATGAATAAACCACGACTGGCTAAAGATTTAAAGTGTTATCACGGCATGGGAGCTTATTGGCTCCCAGAAGAAGCACAGTTTCTCTTGTCAGGCAGCTGAAAACAGTCACACGGCCAGCGGTGGAGTCAGACTCATTCTGTCTAAGTCAGCTAAAGAGAGCACCACTCACCTATACAATGAAGCAAGACCTTTCTTCGCCCTGCAACGCAATTTTTCCCTGCCAGGCAAGTAGGAGTCAAGGGGGTTTTCACCACGTTTAAAATAACCATTACCTTATTGACAAGATGAATCCAAGTCAAACCAATGCATTAAACTGTTCTTTTCCATTCCTGATGCCAACACCAGCCAAGCACAAGGTGGATGAAACAGCACGTAGTGGACTTGTGTTTCAAGCGTTTAATTCTTTTGTACAGAATAATCTTTATTACTAGCATTTGGCACTGTTATACATTACACCAAAAATCCACAAATTGTACATGGACTCAAACTATTTAGACGGTGCCAAATATGAAGACAGCAACAGCCTTTATAGCAATATTTCTTTAAATAAATGCAATAGGGAATGTGGAGAAAAACTAATAGATCACAGCTACTGAGGGGGCTACACTTTAAACCAGTTAAGTTACCTTTGATACATAAAACATTTTCCTTTAGACAGCGTAAGGGGACTTTTTCATAAGTCTTTAACCTCTTGTGGACGTGTTCATTCTCCCATGTTGGTCTGTGTGTGTATACGTGCCTGTGCACCACCACACACACAAGCACACACAGAGAAATCCATGAACACACCACAAAACAGCGCTATTCAAGTCAATGCCTTACACAAGTGTCTCACGAGCTCTTTGCTTTGTTTTTAATGTTTTTTATTTTTAACGTGTTCCCTAAAAAAAAAAAAAAAAAAAAAGAAAAAAAAGAGTCCATCTTAGGTACAGAGAATTCGTCCATGACAGCATCCATCCCTCTCTTATACCGAGGGCAAGAGAGCGTTTCCATAAATAGAAAAAAATGATGGGCATGGAACCTTTATCTATATACAATGTAGACAATCGTCCGGGTTTTGGTTTAAACATGTGCCCGTTCTTGGACACGTCTTGTCTTCCTTTTCTGCTCCTGTTTTGTTTTACACAGTTTGGTCCAAAAGGCCAGCCTCCACCTCGAGGCAGCTTGAAAACCCCAATAGATAGGTAAATATATATATTTTTTAAAAACCACAACAACAACAACGACCAAAAAAAAAAAAAGCCAACCAACCAAAAAAAAAAAAAAAAAAAAAGACCAAAAAGACTCAAACCAAAAACCGTATTTATAGAGCAGATGCGTTGGGTGTAGCCCCATCGAGCGGATGGGGGTGGCCCTGTGTCTGTGCTTTGGACTGCTGGCTCAGTGTGGACTGGTTTGAGGAACGCATCTTTGTGTTAGGCAGTTTATGGTCTTTCTTCCACTTCATGCGCCTGTTCTGGAACCAAATTTTGACCTGGCGCTCGGAGAGGCAGAGGGTGTGCGCGATCTCGATGCGTCGCCTTCTGGTCAGGTAGCGGTTGAAGTGAAACTCCTTCTCCAGCTCCAGGACCTGCTGTCTGGTGTAGGCAGTGCGAGACCTCTTGGGCTCCCCTCCGTTGTAATTGGGATTGACTGAAACGTGCACACACAGGCACACACATACACACGCGGAGAGGAAAGAAGGAGAGGGGAAGGGATGGAACATAATCATTATATAATAACTTGACACCGGGTTCACATAAGATACATAAACGGCAAGAAAAATTGTTTCCCAGCCTATCGACAGTGGGGACAATCGAGGAGCAATAAAAAATGGTGATGGGCATTTGGGTTAGAAGAAAAGCTTCAAAGACACATGGCCCAGAGCCACTGCAGGGCAATTAAATTTATGGGGGCTATAATTACTGCCCTAACAGTTTGGCGTCTCGTAAATCTTTTGATAAAGGACCCCGGATACAAAAGGTTTCTCACTTTTTTCTTTTTTCTTTTTTTTTTTTTCTTTCTTTTTCTTTTTTTTTTTCTTTACTATTAGGAAACGCAGACGGAGAAGGAGGGAAAAAAAAAAAGCCACACACGCAACGACCCATCCCGGTCCCGGGAGCACCCTCCCCCCTTCTCTCCTCTGCAGGCACATCCCCACCTCCCCCTGGCAAGGGCAACTCACCCGTGCTCACATGGATCTTCTTCATCCAGGGGTAGACCACCGGCTCCTTCCCCTTCAACCCGGGCAGGCTCTTGTCGGGCAGCAGCGGACAGGCGGGCCCGGTGCCGGCCCCGGCGGCGGGGGCTGCTTCGCAGCGGCGCTGCAGGGCATGGCCTGGGAGCAGGGGCTGGGGCGGGCCGGGGTGGCCCTTGGCGGGCGGCGGCGGCGAGGCGCCCGGGGGCGGCTGCTCAGGGCCCGGGGCGGCGCTGCCGGCGCTGCTGTAGCTGTAGGGCGCCTGGGGGTAGGAGGGTGCCTGCGCGGGGTAGAGCGCCTCGGGAGGCGGCCCCGGCGGCCCCGGCGGCGCGGCGGGAGCCTGGTAGCCCGGTTCCCGGCGCGGCCGCGGGAAGTACTCGGGCAACGCCGGGCCCGAGTGCGCGGCGTGCAGGTGCGGCGGCGGCGGCGGCGGCGGCGGCGGCGGGGCGTGCGGGTGCGAGTGGTGCGGGTGGTAGCTGGCGGAGCTGCCGGCGCTGCCGCTGTGCTGCGTGTATTCCTCGCAGGGAGGGAATTTGGGCTCGATGTAGTTGGAGTTTATCAAAAACGAACTCATGGTCATTAATTTGTGAAGTGCAAAAATACTAATTTTTCTCGCGTTGTCGTTTTTCTGGGCTCGGCGAGGCCACTCCCCTTCCCCCCCCCTTCCCTCCCTTCCCTCCCTCTCCCCCTCCCGCTGCTGTCAAGTGCTGCCGCTGCCAAAGTTTGGGCCTCCAGCCCTTCCCCCCCCCCTCCCTCTCCCCGCTGCACTCCCCTCCCTTCCTCTCTTCCCACCCCTGGAGCGCCTACAACACACACAAACACACACCCGCGCACACACACACCCGCACCCCCCGCCGCCCCGCCACCACCTGACCGCCAGCGCCAATTACCGCGCGGGGCCGCGGACCCCGGATCAGGAAATGGAAGAGGGACGAGCGGCCGCAGGGCAGCTCCGCGCCCGCGGACCCTTCGCGGGGACGGCGCCTCCCCCACGGGCGGGGGCTGGCTGGAGAGGGAGCGCCCCGCGTCCGCTCCTCACCAGCATCCCCGGCTCCTCCTGCCCGCCGACCCGGGCAGCGTCCAGCAGTCGCGGTGTCAAGCGAGATAAAACTAATCCGGCTTTGACAGTCTCCCACCCACCCCGCCCGCCCCAGCACTTTTTGTGTCTTCGTTCTCCCGTGGGAGAGTGTAGGAAGCAGGGCGAGGAAGCGGAGCGCAGCCCAGCTGCGTGATCCAGAAGGAGGCAGGCATTGCACAAGGCGTTGCACAATCCTTTTAAACAAACCCATCTCCGAATGCCGGGGCTGCGCGCAGGCAGAGGGCGGCAGCGGCTGTCGGGCACAGGCCACCGGCCGCCCTCCAGGGTCTGTCCCCAGCGCCCCACCGCTGCGGACCGCGGGCGGCCGCGAGCTGCAGGGACAGCCCTTTGCCCCTTTGAAGCTGGGCTAATTGCAGGAATAGACGCAAAAGTTAGAACGAAGGTCGCGGGCAGGCCGAGGAGAGTCCTCGAGGGGCTTGTGGGGTGTGAGGCATAGAGCGAGCCTGAAAATAACGGGGAACAGAGGGGGAAGGGAGAGGGGAAGACGGACACGACGGTATCAAACACTTCCTACCGGGCTCACTGTGAGCATCCCTCCCCGCGGAGCAGAGCTTTCTGAACTACTAATTTAAGTCCGTCGGTTTGGTGTGCCTCGTCTGGGGTTTATTTTTTTAATTTTCACTTCCATAAGAAATCGC